CTTCGTTTCACTTGTGCATCATAGGAAACATGCTTGCTGATGGTACTGTTTTGACAAATACTTTTGATCAGCACACTGAATGTGAAATTGAGGCTATGAAGTAGAAATGACCAAAGGGCACGACTTGGCACCAGACATCATAACTACGTGCCACTTGGCCTCCATTCCATCTGGTCATGACTCATGAATCCAGGTTTCCTCTTACGGTCAATCTCGCTAACCACGACACATCAAGCACTGCCTCCCCGGATGGAGCACAGCCACATCGTGGAGTTTATATACATCATCGTGGAACTTGCTCATCAACTCAAAAACTTTTTTTTTCCCTAGGCTTGTGCAAATAGTAAACTTTAGATTCAAGGTGAATAGTGATTTTGGTCGAATAAATCAAATCAAATTAGAATGGTATATACCACATATTTTAAAAAATGGCATATTTTCATGAACTGCACAATATTTGTTAAAAAAGAGAAAAAAAAAGACCTGTGCAACAGCCACTTTTTTAGTTAAAAGTGGAAATAACGTTGCATAGTAGCAGGATTTGACATTCAGTGAAATGCCAGTAACACCTGTAAAATATCTTATGCTTCAAAATTTACTATACTTACAGTATATAAGGCAGTATAACAAGCTTTTAACCTAAAAAATGAATCAATGTGAGAGTGATGTCTTCATTTAACCGTGAAGAAGCGCTTCACGACAGAGCAAATTATTTTTTTAAATTGTTTTCACAACTTACCACGACTTCAATATAGTAAAACCATGTTTACAGGGGGTTACATGCAGACTATAGAACACTCAACGAGGTGTTTTCACGGCCTAACACTCCTCTACTGCAGTGAAACCACCTTTACAAAGCTTACATGGAGACTAATATAGTAGAATCTCGATGATGCGAATTCGAAGGGAGCACACGAAATATTCCTATCATCCTGAATTCTTATGAGCCAGAAACAAGTTAAAGCTGATCATGAAGATAAACAAAAAAATTGTTGGGGTCAACTATTTCTTGCTGAAGAAGCCCATGATGTTCTTTTGAACATTCCTGCTTTCACCGAACCTCTCAATAAAATGCCACGGTTTCCTCACTCATGCTGCTGGCGCTATAAGGTGCATTCACACTTGGCATCAAAGGGTCCGAAAGCGACAAAACTTACTAAAAATTGACTCAAAAGCACGCCGCAAAAACGGCACGAAAAAAAATCAGTTTAAGAGAATTCACACTCGAGAATTAAAGCGAGAACGCCAGAGCGGCCACAACAACATGTCCACACCCATCGAAAATGTTCACATTCGTTCTGCTCGACGTATACATGCCACCAACTCCGTCAACACCACATGAGATTTTATTCCTCGGCATTAAAATCACTACTGAGTTCTAGTTATGCATGCAAAGCACTGAAAAGAAACAGCTTATACCTTTACAAACGTTTTGGGAGATGCGCCAGAAGGAGTGACACGAGCAAACGCACCAGCACCGGCAGCAATGAATTCAGCCAGCAGTGAAAAAGTGAGACACGTTTAGTGCATGCGCACTCACTGCTGCTGAACCTCCTTCTACTTCCGGTGTTCGCAGCAATCGTAATCCTAACCAGGCTCTCGATGAGTGCGTCTTTTTCAAGGCTGTGAGCTTTGTCCTGCTACGCGAGTAGTTCATGATCGCGCTGACGCGAGCCACCGCACCTGCTGACGCCTTGGCCGCCGTCTTGAATTTACGGCTGGTTGTTTACATCACGTGGTTTGAGACCTATTGCAGCCTGTGTAATCGAAGCCGTAGCAGTAAGGCGATCCACTGTTGCGTGGCGACAAAATTGGAATCTGACAGATTTTTTTCATCTCGCGGCATCAATTTTTGGCCACTTATCCAGCGGCGAAACAAGAAAAATTTCGATGTGTTTTGCCTCATTGCCTCCCTTCGAGGCTAAGAATGTGCCTTCCTATCACAGACAAGCGGCGTAGGTGCCGCTCGCGTGCAGCGGTCAATTTCGCACTCAAATCATTCCCGTTTACTGGGGAAACTGTTCCTATAACACCGAATCACGGCATATTTTATCAAATGTAGTCCATTTGAAGCAACCTTGAAATTTTTATCGCAAAATTCGCATCAACCCTCAACGTATCATCAAGTTTCTACTTTTATTTTTGCGTTCATTTGAAATTTTCAATGTTTTATATTCGAATTGAAGAAAATTTGAATACTTTAACATTCGTTTGAACATGTGAAGCATTAGAATATTTGCACGACCCTAATATTTGCTTCACTAATGAACCATCCATCTATTGATCACATTATCCACTTACATCTAAGTGCTCTTGTGACCCCTTCTTAAATTTGGGGTTCACCAAAATCGGTATTGGAAAGTAAGAAGGTATGACGAATACAACTATTTGGTCATGACAATGAATAATGTGAAAATTCTGTTGTGTACGTGGACAAATCCTTTCTTGGTGTACGAGTACGTGCCACAGCTGATTGAAAGTTTATATTTGGCTAAGAAGGGCGAGAACAGACATAGGTAATGTCATTAGTAAAAATCAACATTGGCAGTGGTGACTAGACTGACGCAAAGAAAAAAAATGGGGGGGGGGGTTGCCTTGAACTTTATTTGTAAAGGAAGTGTTGCAACCCATTGAGAATGCTGGCCTTACGATTAATGCTGATGAAACGAAGGTCTGCAGTCAGTTCCTTCAGCTTCGGGTCCCGTCATCTCCCAAGAGCAGAGCAGAGCAGATGAAGAAAAAGTGCAGGCGGCGCTACATAATCTCATCCTCACCATGATTAAACAGCTGCAGGCTTTCCTGGGGTCACCAGCTCATAGAACATTTTTAACTGTGAAGAAAAACGAGCCATGGCGGCGGGAAGAGTGCTAAGAGCCGGCTTTCACTACACTCAGGATGCAGTTACGAGCCTTCCAGAGTGAAATGGACTTTCCTCTGAGGTTGAAACGAGTGCAATGCCGCTGTGATGAACTGCAGCCAGTTTGCTTTATTCTCGCAGCCACTATACCATCCAGGAGCAGAAGTGCCTAGCAATGGTGTGAACAGTAGACCAATTCAGGGTGTATGTATTACAAAGTTTGAGATACACTGTGACCCCCTCATCCCTGTCAAGGATGTTTAGGACCGACGAAGCCCTCCAGCTGCAGAATTTTGATTGCGGAATCAAGTACAGATGGGGGCTGGCAAATACACCGGCATATGCCCTGAGTAGAGCTCCTTTTGAATGTGAGGACCACCTCAGTGACAGCTTGCCCCCTTCCCCCTACACAAACCCATTGACGTGCAAGTTCCTGAAGGGAAAATTACATTTGAGCAGGCTCGTAACAGCAGTCCCTCAAAACTGAAAAGATTATTTTCCCGAATTCGTACCCACCCTGATCATGATCTGGCAGAAACTAGACCGCTAGTTCAGTAGTTCAAAAAGAGGCAACAGAAGGGTGCCTTCTCACCTCCGGCACCTGGCATTGAAAATGGTGCACGACGACCCCACTGTGGCCCACAAGGGGTTTTCCACAAAACTTTGAGGTATGTAGTGACACAATTCCTCTGGCTGGGCATTAGGGCCAACATATAAAAGTATGTGCCGGACTTTGCTATCTCTCAGCACACAAAAGCTCGGGGCAACAAGCCTGAAGGTCTGATGGGCAGTCAGTGGGCAACAGAACCCATCGAAGAACTTAGTGTTGACATACAGTAGACTCCCATTAAAGGGAATGTGAAGGGACAAGTAAAATGTGATTGGGTTTAACAGGAGTGCCATTTACTGAGAGATGAACAGAGGCACACAATGCAAGAATGAAACCAATCTTGTCAGGAGAATTTGTTATATTTTAGCAGCAGTTCCGTTAAACAGATCTCTGTTTACTGAGAGTCTACTGTAATTGGATTCTTGCTTTCTACACCTTGAGAACACAAATACTTGCTAATAGTCACTGAATGGTTTACAAAGTTTCAACTGCTGTTCCCTCTATGAGCAGCAGTCAGTGCGAAAATACTAGAGCGCATGCTCCAAGGATTTTGCTACCATAGCCACCTGTGGCCATCCCCAGTGACAACAGGAGGCCCTTTGTCAGCTCATTATGGCATAACTTCCTCTAACATTGAGGAATAAAGAATCAGCATACTGAGCCTTGCCGGCCGTCTGGACAGATGGTGGAGCATCACAATGGTACGGTTTAGCAGGGTCTATGAGCAATGTGCCTAATGTGCAATGTGACCACCGTATACTCGAGATCAGCCTTGCCATGCGCATTACAGACAGCAAAGTAAACTCCAATAACGCTTTGAAATGGCAGCAAGTTGCGCACTCCGTGGGAAAGTACAGGAGATATGGAGGAGCCCTCCAGAGGAGGCACACGATGTGCTCGCTACAGAGCTGAGGCTGTGCTGAGGAGGAGCGCTGAGGTATGCTAAGAAATGTCCCAGTCAAGACATGGTCGTCATCGACAGCCAATAGCGATCAAAGAAAGCGACCTTGAACACTCACACTTTGAGTGATGCAGCGAAGGGTGTTTCGGCCAAGTTTGCACCGCAGAAATGTGGACCTTATTGTGCGGTCAAGCAAGTTGGTGAAAATAACTTCATCCTCAGTGACCTAAAATGGGACGTTATCAAATCATCGACAATGCTGATGAGCTCGTGATGTACCAACAACCATTACTTCTTCCTTCCCCCACGGATTCACGATTCGAAAGAGAGGATGGTTGTCAGAGATGGAATGTTGTTAAGAGTGCACATGTGAGGTCGGGTCCCAGAGGTTTTGTGGGATTGACGGTAGCAAGATGACATGAGTGTCATCAGCAAGGGAGCATGTGTGTATGTGTGAGAATACATTAGAAGAGGAACAGAGTGGCACGAAACAGTTGTACATGTCGCATGGAAAATTAGGAGTTTTCTCATAAACATGGCTGCCAATCATTGAGTGCATCGTTGAATCTGACATGCTGTTGCAGGTCCTTGGAAATGATATGGTCACTGTGAAGGTGAAACTCAAGTCTTACGTTCTCGCCAGGAAGGGGTCTCAGCTGGTTGGCCACTGCTGCCCTGTGGATGTCCACCAGCTCCTGATCTAGCTCCCGAATGCGCTCCAATGCACTGTCGATCTCCTGCTGTTGACGCCCACATGTCTCCTGAGCCTGTGGGGAGAATGACAGGCTTTCACTACATGTCATCGAAACAAACACTCAGCCTCCAGCAGAACTTTGGAAAACACGTCAACGTACCTTCATTTATGTAATGCATTAATATTCCTCCAGTTTAGCCAATCTATCGAAAATGCATCAATCCAGACGGTAAGCTTTAGGCGAGTTGGTTCAAAGTCATTCGGGTGCGGTGACACACAGACAGAAAAATAGAGAACTTGTCGCGTCTAGTAAGTGTCCATGCGTTTCATAGTGCTGCATCCCAAAAGTTTAATGAAGCAATGTTACAAACTGGCAATAACACATAGGCAGCAAACCACTGTCATATCTAATCACATACCTCAGTATAAACAACAGTAATGGGACAGTCATCTTGTATAACACCACGTTCATTGTGAATTTTGTAACCGCAATATAATAGAGCGAAAATTCACTGCTCTCATAAAGGAAGATTGAGGCAATATTTGAGAGCAACTAGAGTAGACTCTCAGTAAACGGAAATCTGTAAGACAAAACTGCTGCCTCCCGCATGCATGGCTTCTCATATGAACTCTGTAACCCTGTTACTTTTTATCAGTAAATGGAACTCTCCATTTAAAGGAAACAATCCATTTCTGTTCAGTAATGGAACTCTCTATTTAAAGGAAACAATCCATTTCTGTTCAGTGAAAGCCTGACTGGGCTGCTGGTTGGTGGTATATGATTCAGGGGAAAAGCTTTTATTTCTGCTTTCTATAAGAAGTTTAACTTCTCTACTTTCGTGACAAGAGAATCAAGGTTGAAATTAAACTTGAATTATGTAACAAATGTTTCTAACAGGCTAAAGGCGAGTTTAAAAATGTAAAAAGCTCATTGTCTCGAGTCCCCGGGAAATCACCTCCTGGCTGCTTGCCATTGCATTTCGTGACAGTAGTTCCCCGAAGCTACATGCTCAAAGTAATCATGATTTCTAACCTCTCATAACGGAAGAAATCATTTTTTTAAAAGTGTATCTTTGCCCCATAAACTAGCTTTCAGTTTTATGTTTATGTGTATTTTTCTCCAGATGCAATTTTGGCCAACCTGTTTAGTTTAAATAACCATTTTTTTTGGTACTTCTGATGGCTAAATTGGGATGCAATTTTACCCATATGATTTTTAAGATTTGAGAAGTGCAATTATCTTCTTTAAACCCTAATATCATTAATAAGAGACCAATCTTACAAGGAGGCTGCCATTTTTTCTGCCGCTGCATTGTCTAGCATCTGCCATGTTTCACCACTGTGTCAATGTTCGGAGATCTGCGGTAGTGTATGCAGTGTATGCGCTTAGTATGCCAAGTATAGCTGTTCTTCATAGCAGACAGTCATAACACGACAACGCATCATGAGTGTTAAAGGGCTAGTAGGCAATTGCTCGGGTGTCAGCGTTAAAATGACAGAAACCCACAAGATGTTCCTGCAGCAGCACCGATGATAGAGATGAGGTGAGCAGAATTTCAATTTAAGCAAGTATAAGTAATTTATTGGTTAGTATGTTTTGTTATAGCCAGCCTTGTGGGGTTCCAGAGGTATGCACTATTCTGCCAACTCTCGAAGTAATCATTGAAACGTCAATTGAGACGAGCGAATACGTAGACTTTTGTCCAGCTGCACTTCCAAGTTTTTAAGTGCGTGCGTTAGTATATTTAAAATGACTTTAGGGCTTCTCTGCCATGAATATCAAGAGTAACGTAACTTTGTAATCACTAGTAGAACATCTGCTAAAAATTTGACAGCACAAAGTTTATGGAGTGAAGGAAGCACAATTGAACACCAATGCCTGTGTCGATTGATGTTGTCCTCATAGTCAGAAGCTTGAGTCTGATCATTGCACATGATGCGTGACGAGCTGAAACTCCCGCGTCATAGCAACACAAAAAGAGAGTTAAAATAAATGTCTTGCACTACTGGAAGCACGGCAAGACGTATAGTTCGCTTTGGAACGAACAGCCGCCACTGGCGTTACTCCAAAGGTGTGCTAGTGTTTTGTAACAAAGACGTCTGTAGTTTTAGTGTGTGTGTGTGTGTGTGTGTGTGTGTGTGTGTGTGTGTGTGTGTGTGTGTGTGTGTGTGTGTGTGTGTGTGTGTGTGTGTGTGTGTGTGTGTGTGTGTGTGTGTGTGTGTGTGTGTGTGTGTGTGTGTGTGTGTGTGTGTGTGTGTGTGTGTGTGTGTGTGTGTGTGTGTGTGTGTGTGTGTGTGTGTGTGTGTGTGTGTGTGTGTGTGTGTGTGTGTGTGTGTGTGTGTGTGTGTGTGTGTGTGTGTGTGTGTGTGTGTGTGTGTGTGTGTGTGTGTGTGTGTGTGTGTGGTGTGTGTGTGTGTGTGTGTGTGTGTGTGTGTGTGTGTGTGTGTGTGTGTGTGTGTGTGTGTGTGTGTGTGTGTGTGTGTGTGTGTGTGTGTGTGGTGTGTGTGTGTGTGTGTGTGTGTGTGTGTGTGTGTGTGTGTGTGTGTGTGTGTGTGTGTGTGTGTGTGTGTGTGTGTGTGTGTGTGTGTGTGTGTGTGTCCGTCACTCGCGCTGACATGTCTTTTGGTTGCGACCAGCACTCACGAGGCTGCCGAACTGCATGCAGTTGCGCAGGTCCCAGGCATGTCCATCGCCCAATTTCACAACCTCTTGGTCAACGACAAAGACAACATCCAGAAGACAGCCAGCCATTGGTTATATCACTCCCGCTGCGTACAATCAACACACTCGAAAGAACAATGCAGTAGGCCAAAGGGAAGGGAGCTTTGGGCTCCTCGCCCATGTGGTACGATGGTCAGTACTGCTAGCAAGTACATTGGAGGCAGCCGAGACGCCCAGCTAAAATAAAACAAAGACCGTTTTTCTTAACTCGTGCATCACAGGACAAAAAAAAAAAGTGAGGGAAGCAGAGTGCAACACCTCAACACCACAGTTCACCTAGTTGTGCCACGTACGACAGGCGACTGCACTCTAGATCCTTAGCTTTAATGAGTCGCTCGACAACAACTGGCATCCACCCAACACCCAGCCTAGGCGCAGAAGAGGCAGCCACAAGGAGACATCCACTCTGTAAGATGGCCCTACTCGCTCGCCACACACAGCAATTTACCGAGTGATTGACACCCACTGTCCGGGACGGTGTCACGATGCCCCGACGTCGAGCCGCAAGACAAGACTGCAATGACGCCCGACACCCAGAGCCCGAAGAGACGAAACTATTTGCAGAAAATCGGACCACCCACGAGGCTTCCGTACTCACTCGCTTCAGGCTTGGCCTACAGTCCACACGCTCTAAGCTTTGCTCACCCCCAGGAAGCAGACCACTTGGCTCTCATCCCAACTGAACGACAATCTTGAAAACCAAGCACAATTGAAAACCAAGCACAAAAAAAAAAAAAACCCACTTGCGAGCAGAGAAAAACTCAACGTGTTGACAAGTTCAAACACGTCACAACAACTGCTCATATATTTCCACATTACGCGAGGAGTCTGCCACCAGAGTAAGGGCTTCTACCCGACAAGGCTCTGAAGACCGAGACGTTCACATCAACCACGCCGACAATGACAGTGCCTGTGCCACCTGCACCACTACTGCTCTAGCAACTCGAAGAGCGACCAACATTCTATGGTTTGCTACTCGAAAACCCGGAAAGCTGGCTTGAAAGGCTCGACCGCATCGCTGTCTTCAATGACCAGACCGATAATGATAAGCTTCGGCACGTCTATTTTACTTTAGAAGATGCTGCTCGGACATGGTTCGAAAATCAAAAGTGAGGCCTCACAGCGTGGGACGTCTTTCGTGCCAGGTTCCTTCGCACTTTTGCAATTGTGGTCCGCCAGGAGAAGACTGCAGCTCTCTTCGAAATCCATGTGCAGATGCTAAATGAAAACGTGGTGCTATTCAAAGAAGATATGATCAAACTCTTCCGCCCACACTGACCCTGATGCCTGAGAAGAAAAAGGTCCATCTGTTCATGCGAAGAGTCAATAAGCAAGAACTCTTTGCCGGACTGATCAGGCCAAAGACAGTCACTCACAATTCATTCACAATTTTTTCTCGCTTTTAGGATTTTATTTATTTATTTATTCACGAAACCCCACAGGCTCCATCAGGAGTATTGTGTGAGGGGGGTATATACAGAGCATATTCACATTAATTGAAATATCAAAACATGATTATACTCGTTATATAACATAAAAATAGCATTATATATTTGTTAGCGAGAGCAGGCATGACATGCAACTAATAAACAAAATGCAGAGAAACTCATTTGTAAGTGTGCAACACATAACTATAACAAATAATACAATATACAGCGAAGACCAATATACATGGTTTAGTGGAAGGTTGATGCCACTGGCGATGAAAAAATGGTTGTTACTTCGTGACGAAACAATACGGGATCATGAATATTGACAACATTATCGGGAAGACCATTCCATATTTCAAGAGCTACTGGTAATGCTGAAGAGTTGAATGCGTTCGTGTACCCGAAAATGCATTTGAAAGAACGGCTAATGTGCAAACGGCGAGAAGTGCATGTTGGCTGGGTGAGAGGGAGGGTGGTTTCGTGCTTACCGGATGCTATTTTGCGAAACAGGCAGATAAAGGCGATCTTTCTGCGAGAATCTAAGGGAGGCAATGATAGTGATGATTTAATGCGAGTAATACTGGAATGTCGGCTGTAATTTTTCGAAATGAAGCGTGCGGCGCGGTTTTGAACACGTTCGAGGGCATTAATTTTGTAAGCCTGATGAGGTGACCAAACTGGAGAGGCGAATTCAAGTTGAGGACGAACGAAGGTTAGATATGCAAGTGCTTTGGTCGAAGTTGGAGCGTCATGAAGGTTACGTTTGAGGTAACCGAGAGTGCGGGATGCTTGTGCTGAAATTTTTTCTATATGCGTGGACCATGATAGTGAGGGTGAAAGATGCAAGCCAAGCTATTTATATAATGATGTGCGCTTCACGTGACAGTTGTTAAGAGTATAAGTAAAAAGAGAAAATGATTT